AAGGCCTTTGTCGGGTACAGCCAGCGTGCTTTTCCCATCTGTTATATTTTGTACTGCTCTGTCTTTAAGCGCTTACCACCTCTCCTTGTAACACATCGTTGTTTTGATTGGCAGTGGACGAGCATGAAAGTTACATCTCCAGCCTCCAAATTCAAGCAGACTTGCAGTATAAATACCTTTTTTTTCGAGTTGCCAGATTTGTATACATTTTAGATAATTTTATTTCTACTTGGTGCACGTGAGGAAATGCTACTTTTTTTTATCTGACGCGTACATAAGAGTTATGATTGTTATTATCGTTATCATTATTATTATTTTGGCTCGACTGTGTATCGCCAAAGTACGAACTATAATTCGGCCAGCTAAAATTAATCACCTGATATGCACCTAAGAGAGCCGAAATGTAGGATTAGGTACAAACATCTGAGATACAACACATAAGAGCTGCTTCAAGACTCATGCTTTTAATAACTACGTTATTCCGCAATTTTCAAAACCGTGCGTGTTGCGAAAACCATGCAAAAGAAAGACTGCTCGCAACCAAGGGTTCTCTTTTATGTCAAAAAATGATATTATCGATTGCTATTACAGCCATTTACTACACAGTGATATAAACCGGGGGGAGCGCGGACTCCTTTCCCCAAACAGCGGCTGGTAATCGAGCCTTAGTGATATCAAAATGAGATGGAGTGTTCGTGTTTTGTCATTGCTGATAAAGAACGTGAGTTGCTGAAGACGGTAGTTTGTCACTGTTCAGTCCTCTTTGTTATTAAGTTACCCAAGCCTGAACAGCTGCAGAGGCTATGACGACCTCGTCGCATGATAAAAGGAGACAATTTCGGCCACACGCTGTCAAAACTTCATGATTTGTCGAGCGCCTTCAGCCTTGTTTACAACTCTTTAAGAGAAGTCGACCGTTAAAAAAAAAAAGAGAAAAGAAAAGAAAAACACTTTACCATCGTAATAGATTAACTATGACTTAACAATTTCGTCCTTGGAGCCGACAGATAGAACGTTTTTTCATAGCTTGGGAGTATTAAAAAAACCGAACGTCGAGTTAGCTAAACATTTTAAAACTATTTTCGTTCATCAACTCGGCGTGATTCGAAAAACAGCATGTCAATTCCGCGTGAAGTTTTAAGAAAACGTAGCGCGAGACTTATGCGCGTGCCAAAGACTGTTTCTATGTTCGACCATGACCCCAAGATCTCCTGCCATGTCCACGAAAACAACCACAAAATGGATTTTGGAAGTGTCAGAGTTGTTGGACACGAGGCTAACTTTCACGAGCGCCTCTTCTTGAAAGCCTGGATATCAATAAAGTATCGGCAATCTGTAAATGACCACATCGCCATCCCAGAAGTCTACAAGTCTTTGGCACGCTTATAAATCTCGCGCTACCTATTCTTGAAACTTCGCGCGGAATTTTCCTCAGCGCGCGTTCGACGTGCTGTTTTTTTAATCACGCATACGTACTAACGTTAGCATTTCAACTGATGAAGGCGCAAGTACCAGCCGAAACGTCTTGAACAAAACATCGAAAAAATAGTCAGTGTCAAACCATTATCTTACAATGGTAGCTCCTGACTACCACTACTCCATCTCTAAACACATTTAGCTGTTATAACACGCAAACTGTGGTGATAAACATGGCAATAAAACGCATGTTAAAAAACAAAGTTGTTACTTCTACTCCTAACGGTCACTTCTGAAGATGTATGTTGAAACATACGAAACGTCAAGTAAATGAACTTTGTTTTTTAACATGCGTTTTATTGCCATGTTTATCACCGCAGTTTGCGTGTTATTTCTTATCAAGCTACGATGGTCAAAGAAAAAGAGTATTTACGACATTTAGCTGTATTGTTATGTAAATCAGTATGGTAAATTCGTGATGAACCTGCCAGTACGTAGCCTGCGAACGCAGACGTATTTCCGGCTGTCCCTTGTCTCCGCCGAAAAATAACGTCTGTGAACCCGAGCCAGGAAACGATTTCTGTGACGTAATGACTTTT